TCACCCCTTTAATTCTCTCCCCTATCATTTGGTGGGGGGGGGGAGGTTTGAGTGAACAGTGTGTGGGTTGGCCTTCAGCCAAGGGCAAACCTATCACAACCAGTAAGCAAAAAAAAGAGCTAGGTGACTGCTGCCCCCTCATTAACAGGCTAATGCAGAGAAAATCTGGAGGCAGAAGAGGATTCTGATGATACCACTTGGAAATCATGGGCTTGTGGGGCAGAAAAAGGGTGTGTGGGTTTCACATGCACAGGCCATTATCTCAAGCCATCCCCCTTCCACCTCCTTCATCTTCACACAAGTCCTGGGGAGCCTGTGGCTCCAGGTCTGAGCTCTCAGAGGGGATATGAAAGAAGGTATTTTGGTGATCTGAGACTTGAGGAGCCCTTCCACCCCTGAGGCTCACAGGTATGCTCTCTGCCCTGCACCATGTCTGAAGAGCAGGGAGGAGATCGGAGTCAGCGGTGCCTACCGCCACCCACATCAATGCGCAGGGCACCGTCTGTGCATACTCACAGACGTATGCTATGGTGGGGGTCTCCAAGGGTATACAATGTCCCAGTGCTGTCCCCTGTGCCCCGTCCCATCTCCCCTCTGCAGTTATTTTTCTTCCCACTCTGCTCTCCTCTCTGCACACTGGGAACACACTGGTTGACATTTTAGGTACGAATCCAACCTATGCAGCCTGAAAGAGCCTCTGCAAGGTAGTGAGAGGTCTGACAGCCTCTGCTGTTTTCCAACGACACCTTTAGGCACTGAGCCCTGCTCACCCTGCTCTTTGTCCAGGGGTCTCTCTGATCAGAAACTCTCCAGTCTGTTATGTCTTGGGGAAAAGGAACAGCTGGGACTTCATGTTTTTGGGAAGGAAAGCTCAAATCTAAACCTGTATGAAGCCACTGACTCCCTTGCAGCAGTTTCTGGGAGGAGGGGAGCCTCAGGTGTCTGCACCACAAGAAATAGCAGCACAATTGGTGCTGCTGCTTGCCAGCCCCATAGAGACTGGTGGGGAAACCTCTCCATGAAAGCTCCTGGGACAGGGCTGATGCATGCAACAGTCCTGGGAAGAAAGTTGCATTGCCTGTGCCTGTGTAAGATAACTGATTTCATCAGGAGACATGCCTTTGGCTTGAGTGCGGACTGACTCCAAGAGGACTGTCCCCAGGTCTGGTCCTGGCACCCAAAATCCCCCCCTGGAGCTGGTCAGAGGACTCTCTGCCAGCCTATCTCAATTTTCCAGCAACACATCCTGCGTAAGGAGACAGACCTCTATACTGGGAAGGTAAAAAGGAAGGATGCATCTCCAAATACTACTTACATGGCCGTGAAGGTCCGTGTTTAGCAGCATCAGGGCACAGGTGAGCGTATGAATCCCATCTGAAACACACAACAGTCGGTATGACTACTAGCCTTCCCACATGGTTTCAGTGTTCGCTGTCTTGACAACCCACCCATTGCAAAATCAAGGCTAGCTGCTATGACTGAGGACCCTGAAGAATACCTATTTCTTTCAACTGCATAAGATAGTTAAAAAAAAAAAAATCTGCTGTTCTCTCAAACTTTACCTTTTCCTGAAACAATCACCAGGTAATTGGCTTTAAAGTAGTTTTGTCAATGGCTGTCTAAAGACCAGACTTTCTGATGAGTCTTCTTCCATATCCATTTTGTGCCAATGCTGTTGCAGAACGGGGCAGACACCTGGGCAAACAGATCTAGCTCTCCCTGACTTGATCACAAGCACCTCAGGGGTTTGTCCTGAGGTCTTTAGCCATTGTTCCTGGGCAGCCTGTAAACTTTTGAGTGGTTTAACAAACGGAGAGCACTTTGGGCTCTCTGACTTAATAAAACTCAAAGTTTTCCTTCCATCTGAGACAGCACAGCACCCTCTTCTGTACCAGGTAGCCTGGTGGCTTGCTGTTATTTCAAAACCACACTGTGTCCTGAAGCTCTTCAAGGCCAAGACACTAGTCTGCACACACCACCTCACAACAGTGAGATGCAAATGCATCCTGGCACATGAACTGCTCCTTGCAAGGATCTTACAAAAGGGCTAGAGAGCACCAGGGAGGAGGCAGGGGCAGAACTCCTACTGCCTTGGTCTTTGGCCTTGCTCTTGGCATGACTCTGTGTGCTCACACTGATGGGCTCCTCCATAGACCAAACCAGACATGACATGATGCTCCTGGCTTATTTCTCTATCTATTTCTCTAGTGGATGCTGCTCTGTGAATTGGTGTCCTAGGGTCAGGCCTTGACTTACCCCCAGGCCTGGCTGGGGAAGTGGCACTGGCCTCTTCTTGGAGGGGGTAGATGTGCAGTCACAGCCAGCCAGCTGTGGCCTGTCCCCATCTTGGTCAGCCACTAAACAATGGCACCATTTGTGTGGAATAGTGACAAGCCCTGAGCACCCCAAGCTCACAGCCAAGTCTAAACACCGCCAGCTAAAGGCAACTGAACACACACGAGCCCAGGATGAAGGCAACCGAGCACGTGAACTTCTCCCTTTTGTGGAAGAACCACGGTCTCTGAGGAAGGAAGGGTATCTCATGGGAACATCATTCATTTCTGTATGAGGGCTGACAGTCCTGGGGACTTGGTGTGATGGACATCCCCCTTCAAGAGAGAATCACTTCTGAAGACGCTTCCTTCGCTTTCACAAGAAGCAGCTTTGGACTTAGGACAATGTGCCTCCCCAGTGTGTATTTTGGAGTCTCTGTGGGAGGTTTTGGGCTGACATCTTCACCCGGCTTTACTGTATCACTTTGGTCGGGTAAATCATGTCCCACATGGCCCCAAGGTGGAGCTGGTGTCCCAAAACCTGCTACTCTCTTGCCGTTTCTTGGTGCAGTTGCATTCACCTTTTCTCTTGGCTCACACAGTGTCAGAACCCAAACACATAGATCTTCTGTGTCTGGGCTTCATCAGTACAGGAAAACGCTAATAATGTGTCCAAGACACCACCCTCTGTGAGAAAACCCAGCCACCCCACTCAGTGGTCAGCAGGTCAGAGCTTCTGCCACCCTCATTTGCAGCGTCCCATCATGCAGGCTGAAGTGTTGCAACAGCGATGTCTCCATCAGCAGAGGAGTTATTGCATCAGCAGGTAGCAACATCCTGAAATGTCTTAGAGGGCTGTAAGACCTTCTCAGCTGCCTGATCACCTCCAGACAAACTGTCTCGACTCTATCACTCCTCTATGCCAATAGACCAGCCAGAAGTGTTTCTTTAGAAATCTAAATAATACACAGTGGCTCAAATTTCATCTTGGTGGAACATTCTTTGCAAGTTTAGTCTGGACGCAACAAGAAGGAATCGCTTCCTGAAGAAAGAGCTCGCAATAGCTTTCTCAAATTACCATACATCTCATGCATGCTCTTCCAGTATCTGCAGAAGATGTGACCTGAAGGATCCACTTTGCTTCCCTCGATCTCATCAAGTAGTACTTGGATTATAATAATATTTTTCCAGCCCCATTCAATTCCCATACTGAGCGCAGCTCTGTCCTGCTTGGGACTCATTCAGTTTACATTTGGTCTGCACAAAGTGGTCCTGCCCAGCCTTGTGAAATGTCCTGCCACCATCACAGACAGTGCTGTGGCCCTAAATGTTAATGAATAGGTCACGACAGCTGCAGCAGCAATGTGTTTCAGGTCCAGTTTTCTTTAATAGTTTTGTACTTACCAGGAGTGTAGTATTTTCAGAACAGGGCCTGCCAGCAGCAGTGACATCTCCACTGCAGGCCAGTTGTGGCAGAGTTTAGCTTTCTGGCTTCATTTGTGCTTGCATTAGCAGATATCTTCTCGCAGAGTGTTCAGAACTGGGATCTCATTTCTCTTCTAACAGTTGCTGTAGCGTGGCTCCATCGGCAGCTTTGTAACCCATGTTGCCACATGGCAAAGCTTGTGTACTGTGTAAGTAGTCACTGACCTCCAAATGCCCTCATACTGAAGGTTGTGGGACGGCATTGGAGGTCTGACCCCCTCTGCTCGGGTTGGTGTGTGCATGCATCAGCCCTCACAATGGGTGTTAGACACCTGCGACCAGAAGGGGAGAAAGGGTCCCAAGGGCCTTCTCTGTAGGGGTGGGAGGTGGCTACAATAGAATTGGGGATCACTTACAGGGGTAAGTGTTGAAGAGAGGTCAGGACTTTGCATTTTGGGCTATTTCAGCTGGGGACTGCTGCTGAAATAAGCCTGCAGCTTATTGTCTACAGGCAGAGAACCCTTCCTGGGGAAGGTCTTACTTGCATCAGTGTGTGGAGAACATCACACAAGCACAGGGAAATTAAATCTAAGCCTATACTTGTTTGGGGTGCTACTGATAAAAGCAAGGACATCATCCTATTTTGAGAATAACGTGTGACCAGCTTGCTTGGCAGAGGGACTGGAGGGTTCACGTGACACTGGGCACTGCTGCTCTTTGGGGAGCCTGCAAGATGGAGTCAAGCTCTCAAGCACAGCTGGCTTACTGCACGCTGAACGGGGTGGAGGTGGAATAACTGGCACTGCCACGGTGCCAACAGAGAGCTGGACTGCAGCCTGATTTCCACCCATGGGGGCATGTCCAGATGCCTATAAGCAGGTGTGTAGTGGCATCTATTTGAGTGCAAATGTGAACATGCTCATGTCTGGCTGTGTGTGTGTGCATACGTGTACCAGGAAAGACCTTTCCTATTTAAAAATGTCAGAATAAAATACATCTACTCAAAAAAAATAAAGGGGGGGGGGGAAGGGTTAAAAGTAGCTAACAAAATCTGTAACTCCAGTGAGCTCAGAATTTTACCCAGCTGTGCTTTCTCCTTCTTCAGTTGTAGATGCAAGGAACACGTCTGTGTGTGGCAAGCCAACAGCCTTCCTCAATCTGCATGGAAATGTCTTCTTCCTTTCAATGGACAAGGTCTTGTGCTGAGCTAGCACCAGCCACTCGTTTGTCCACTGCCAGCACCCACTTTGCAAGCCATGACTGCAGTATTTTGCAGCTCCTGAGAACCACTCACCGCCTCCCCTGGTGCTGGGCAAAGCATGGCCACTGATCCAGGCTACAGCTGAGCAGCTTGTCTTCAGCACAGCTTATAAGTACTTGAGAGGACAAAGCTCCCTCAGAGCCCACACCCAGACCCTCAGATCACGAGGAGACTCATCTGTCACTCGTGGAGGCATCTGTACAGCACCTGGTGTCCCCAGTCTCTCCCAGGGCCGGGACAATCATCAGGGCAGGATCCCAGGGAAAGGGAGAAGCTGCAGCCTTGCCTGCCCAGTGTGTGCTATTCAGGCCAGACGTGGATGGCCGGTTTTATACCTACACTGAGTGACACACATCCACGGTGGGTGTGCAACGGACACTAGAGCCAAAGAAAGCAAGCGGTACCTTCGGATGTGCTCTCCTCTGGGTTGCACTGGCAGTATCGCCGGGAGAAGTGGATTAGTACTCGCTCCCGCTCCTGCGTCTCTCCCATCAGTGGGAACGCTTTCAAGAACGTCCTGCAAAGAGAAAGTGATACTTAAAGATGTCGTGGGCCAACTTGCTGGGCAGCATCCATGCTAAGGAGGGAGATGGAAAGAGGGTCCTTAGAGCAGCTAGAAGGCCTTTCTCCTCCCCCCAGCCTGCACACCCCCGGGGCCCTGCAGATGCAATGCAAAGGGCGTCTGTGGAGCCATAGCTGAGCTGCATAGGGAAACATGCTGCCAGCTGAGATCTGACCCACCTCTGGCTTGATGGGACCAGGATGGGTTGTCTGTCCCAAGGGAAGAAGTTGTTCCCACTTTCTCTGATTTCGTATGGGATGGGCTTCCTGGGAAAGCTGCTCTCCACCAAGGGGAAGCAGGCTGTGGGCTCTCCTGTCAAAACCCACTTTTGATGGCCGTACCTTATGCCAAACGTGACACCAAAGCAAAGATTAAATGACAGCTTGGAGCTCCCCCCAGTCCCTGCTCCGATCACACGGACAGCCTCCAGGGCGTTGGGAAGCCCAGAGGAGAAACCGACCGCGCTGCTCCGCTCCGTCCAGCCCGGGCCCTACGCGGGAGTGCCAGAGACCAGCTCACCTGAGTGCTTTGTCAAGGGTCAGGCCAGTGAAGTCAAAGAAGCTGAGATACTCCTCTGCTACCAACTTGCTAAATTCGTTACTGTAATTAGAGAGGGAGTAGTCAGCCCTTTCATCAGGGAAGAAGACACTGTCTACAAGAGGAACAGCAGCCTACTGCCTCCTGGCCAGCCCAAAATCCCAGCAAGACACTGCAGACGTGATCCCAGACCCAGGGGGCTTTCTCACAGCTTGAACAGCTGCTGGAAGACCACCAAAGGACCCTAACATGCCCACAGCCTAGCACTGTGGCTGCCAGCCCTAGACACCTAAGCATGAGAGATGCCTGCCCCCAGTGCCCCCTCTGCCGTGCTGCTGGCCAGGCAGAGCCTCCTCCCAACCCAGCCAGGAGGAAGAGGAGGCCATAAGGATGTCCTGTGCTTGTCGGGCACCTTCTCCCTTAGCTAGCCCTCCCCCATTGCTGGACGTGTCCCCTCCTGCTGCAATATTCCTGCTCTCCATTCCACATTGGCTCTCATCCCACCCTCTCACCGCATCTCAGACAAATGCCCCTGGGAACTGGAGCAGGAGAGCTCAGTCAAGGTTCTGGCCCTGCTCACCCCTGAATGCTTCTCCAGAAACCATTCCCTTTGAAGGATGCCTGGAGACATGTTGCTTTAAGTGCTTTTAAGTTCCTCTACCTGCATAACTCAGGTAGCAGAAGTGCAAGAATAATCAATGAATGCTGGCAAGAAATGGGAGGTGAGCTCAGTATGTTCAGCCTTTGCCATATACAATTCCTTTTCCTTCTCCCCACAAAATGAAAAGTGTATTGTTAAGCATTGCACATCCAGTTTCACCCCGGGACATGTCACAGGCAGAACTCATTGATTTTCCTACAGCATTGTCTCATCTGCTGTGAGGTGGATGCTGTAAAGCCTCTGGCGTAGATGCTGTTCAGGAGCATGACACACAGCACAATCAAGCAGAGCAGCATGACAGCTCCAGGGGAGAGGTCCAGGCCGAGTTTTGACAGGCAGGACATAAGTATTGGTGCTGGAGTTTGCACAGGAGACTATTTCAAAGATGTACGAAGCCTCAAGGCCTCACACACATAAAACCATCATAATCTGGGATTGCTAGCTCTGAGACAGAACATGTCGTCATGGCCCTGTGGCCCCCCAGGTTAGTCTGTCTGAAGCAGTGCCACAACGATGGGTGTGCAGATTCCTGCCGGCTTCCCAGGGAGACTTCTCCACTTGTCTTGGAACCTCACAGCCAGGTGATGCGAGATGCAGAAGATGGCCACACATTTGTGGAAGGAGATGTCACCACATCTTCCCCCTGTGCCAAAGAACAAGCAGAACCAAGCAAGCCCCAGACCTCCACTGGGATCCTTGTGGTTCTTAAATCTGCAGAAGACCTCATGCGTTGGCTCTGCCAGTGCGGGGAACTAGCCAGCACTCTCCCTTCCACAGGTTGGGTCCCACCTCACATGTGCACTTGTAGTCTCCCAGAAGATAAGGTCTAATTCCTTCTGTTTGGGCACCTATTTAGCAGGTCTCCCGGGAACCTGCTTGGGCACTCGGGCACTAGGCACACAGCAACAACTGCCACGTACTGCAGCACAGCAGCAATCCATAGGGGAGGAGAGTGTCTGACTCCCCCCACTTAACCTCAAGCTGGGTGTGGAGGACTGGCCTTGCCCAAGGCTCCCTGAAGCCTAAAGACTTGGCATGTCTATAGCCCAGGACAGATCTTGGGTAGGCTGAATTGCTCTTGAGATATCTCCATGGCCTAAACTGGGACCTACACCCTAATTTACATCCCTAACTAGATCTATAATTAGGCAGGATGAAGGCGGGTGTCCATAGCGGATTTGTGAGCCCCCTCAGACAAGTGACCTGTGCCAGCAGTCCCCAGCCTGGGTGCCCATCACGCCTTCCTGGTTGCCTGACTTGGTCCCTCTCTTCTAGGAAAAGCTCCAAGCAGGGACTGCAGGCTCTGCCAAGGGAAGTAGACAGTGTTGCAGGACACCTGAAGGCAGCCAGCCCCCAGGAAGCAACAAACCCCTATGTCTAGCTGGGGGCTCACTGACATTGATGGGACCCTTCTCCCTGAACTCCAGACCCAGTCAACATAGCCCAGGCATGCCTGGGACACAGAGCTCCAACACTAGCCAGGGCAAGACCATGGCCTGCACTAAGGTGGGCTTAGCAGCTTGCTCTGGTTTCCTCATTCAAGATTTGTCCTTCTTTCTGTGCCAGTCCCAGCCCCTCCTGCAGGAAGGGGTGACACTTCCAACATGCAGCTCAGACTGCCCCACAAGACATCCCCACAAGAACAGCAAGGCATTTCCCATGGGGACATGTCTGGTGTCCTCTGGCTGGTGGCCCTGCCACACAGACAGCCTCTACAGACCTCCTCTCACCTTACCGCCCAGCTTGACACTTCCTCCCTCTGCCTGGTTTGGGAAGGTCTGGGCACCAAGGGCACTTACTGACCTGCTGGGTCAAGCCACCCCAGGGGTAACATGGGAGCCCTGGGCTTTTCTCCCAGTTTCATTCCTGTGTGCCTGGACATGCACAGATGGGTGTTGTTTTACAGTCTGAATCACACCGTCCTACAGAGCTAAGACTGTGGTGTCCAGGATCCTTTTTGTGCCACAGTCACCTGGGTCAGAAAAAAGATTGTCCATAACAAGTTTGGCTAAGTAAAATTAATCTAACCTCCAGGGGAAGAAAATAGGCTGTGTGCCCGTGCTATACTGCCCATGGGGCTCTGACAGACCCCCAGTTCTCCGTGCACTACGATGCTGAAACTGTGCTCTGCTGCCTGCTCTGTAGCTGCCTGCATGGTTTTGTGAGCACAGTGCTCTCTTGGGAAACCCTGCAAGGAAGTGCCTGGCACCACCATCTTCATGGCCTGGCAGCTGAGACAGCTCAGCCTCCATTCAGCAAGAGACATGTGGCCATGGGTAGTGACAGAGCTGAGACAACGCCACAGACCAGTCCAGGAAGAAGCATCTTCCATGGAGAAGTTTAGTTGCCAAAACACATGCTCTTCAGAGAGACAAAAGTAATTTCTGGACTTGAGGTTAACTTCACAGAATTGTGTCAGCTGGGAAGAAACTGTTTGGAGATATCCAGCCTCCATTTCCTTGATCGTCAATTCTTTTCTCCTTGTTTGACAATGATGAATAGTTTTGGTTTTGGTTTGTTCTTTGGTTTTTTTGATAAAATCGTCAGTGTTCACAAAGAGGGGGGAAAAAAAGGGTTTAAAATGAGCTAAAAAAAAGCCTTAAAATGAGATTTTACTTTTTGAACAACCCTCCTAGCCAGTTCACGTCCTACCTGGAGCTGGCCTGAAAGCATCACTTAAACTTACCCTGCTCCCACCACTGTAGGTTGGTCTTATGTTGCCTTGAGTGAGCAAGACCAACTTAAACCACACCTATCTGTATCCCTATCCCTATCCCTATCCCTATCCCTCTTTCTTTCTTGCTCTGCAAATCCACCTGCGTGGTCCAAGAGTCTGCAGCTCTATCCAGGTCTTATGCTGGGAAGTGTTTCAGATATCAAAAACCCAGCTGGTGAAAACAAAATTTTTCTTTCAAAGGTTCCTAAATGTGGGTCACCAAACAGCTTTCCAAGGTATGAGGATTGCAGGTGTGAGTGAGGATTGCAGGAACTAGCAACGGGAAATAGATGCACCCGCAGAGACCCATTGCTTGAAACTTCCCCAACTCAGTGAGCTGGCATGGCAAATTTGCAAGAAAGAAGGATGTGAGACTTGAAGCAGCAGCAACCAGCGATGCACCTGCTACAAGAATCACAGCCAAAGAGAAGAATGGGAATGCTGCCAGGTGACACAAAGAGCATCTCTAGGAGATCATTCATGAGCTCCTTCTGCCCCAGGACTAAGCTGGGAGTTACAGATGATCCTTGGTACTGAAATCTTGGGTATTTGCTGAGGGACAGTTGTGCACTGCTGATCTGGACAGGAGTGAGACATTTCAAGAACCTAAAAAAAAACCCCAGCAACACAGGTTATATCTGATCCAGGAGAAGGATGATGTGGATTGGTGTCCTCACACCCACTGGTATCCTAAAATAATCTGTTACTGCTGCATTCGTTACTGCTACTCTGTCTCTAAGAGATCTCTGTAACTCTCCCACTTTCGAATAAACACTTTTTATTTCCCTTCTGTCTTACCCAGGAAAATCTACCAGCTGAGATGCTTGGACCTCCAGTGTGCACCTGGCTCTCCATCAAACCCTTCATGCCTATAGAGATTGGGTCAGGAGGCACTGCAGCAAGAACATTTTGGGTTGCAGACATGAAAAGCCTGGGGACTGGCAGGGACCTCAGTGCAAATCCAGGTCTGGATCCCCAACTCTTCAGCCTGTGGATTGCTTTAGAAGGGTCTCACTGAGTCCTTACCAAATGCAGGAAGCTCTTGGTTCTGGTGGGCAGCAGCTCGTGACAGTGCCCAATACTCACAAGCAACTTGAAGGATTCAGATTGCAAGGGAATTGGGCTTGGACCAGTTTCAACTGGAAGGCTCTCCAACAGCCCCGACTCCATCCAGGAAACCCTTGTAACAGCAGGCTTGTCCTTTCCTGCCTTTGTCCTGTCCTCCCAGCACCACCAGTGCACCCCCAGACCCTCCCCACCACAGCTTTTTCTGCTGGCCATGCTCAATTCAGCCAAGCCCTTTGCAGGTTGGGTGCAACCCAAAGCCCCACTTACTTTTTCCCGAGCTGGCGTGCCACATCACAGCGCTTGAACCCTTCGAGGTTGTAGAGGCGCTTGGCCAGCCTCTTGGCAGCCTCGCTATCCGCCCTGCAGCCATTCGCCAAGGTGTCCGTGCTGCCCTGGTCAAGCTGCTCTGTGCTGCCCATGTCAGAGTCGGAGTCTGAGAGTGCATCTTTCAAGCTGGCATCACTGCACAGAAACAAGAAACAATTCAAGGAGCAGCAATGTGACTTAATGAAAGCCACAGAAAATGTCACATTTTGTTTTCTTCTTGTCCTAACCAAAAAATACAAAAAAACCCCAAGTTTGTGGACAGGACATTGGACAAACCCTCTTTCATTTCAGGTCAAATTAAATAGTACCGTTTAATTTCAAATTTGTAGAAAAAGATTGAAGAGAAGGTGACTTCTCCCTGAGAAATGAGGATGTATCCGTTCAAAGCAAGCAGCCCCAACACCTTGCTAAGCTTTCTCTCTCTCCACTGGTAGGAAACAAACTCTTGGGAAATCTTAGGGTTAGATGGTATGCTTTTTAGTTCAGATTATTTGCCAAGGATGAGAAACTGCACTTGTACAAACCATGCCAAAGGGACTTGCACCAGACCTGCTGTCACTGGGGGGCTGCTCCTCTGCCAGCTGCTGGCTGGCGCCCTGGCCAGCTAGTTCCATAGACACCACGCTGAGCAGCTCCACCGGCACCATGTAGGTGGGCCTGCTTCCCTTTATTTTCTTGCCTAAGGCCAGTTATGGCACCTATTCACACATTTTTGGTCAGCGTGACTCACTGAAGGCCTGATAGCTACCTGGACATATGGTCTCGCTCCAGCTCTGCCATGACCTGGCTGCTCATCATCTGGCTTCCTCATGCAAGCAAGCACCCTGCAGATGAGCTGCTGCCTCCCAGGGACAATGGTTAGGGTCCGAGCTGTTCCAGAGCATGAAGTCTCTACTGATCTCCTCACTGCCTGCAGGAGAACCTTTGGGAGGCCTCTAAAAGAGCACCCAGTCACTAAGTGAAACCTTGAGGTTTCCCTGCACTTCAGAGCACATTTGGGAGTGTGCCTGAGTGCTCCAACCTCCCAAGGGCTTTTGCAGATGTCAGACAGACAAGGTAATGGTCTACCCAGAGGATCCCCAGCTTTGCCTGCTGTAAGAAAAGACAGGATTTGTGAGCAGCCAGATGAGTGGTGGTGCCCTCCAGAGCAAATGTGGACACAGAGTGCTGAGCCTTGGCTTTTGCTGGGTTCAGGACTCTGCAGCTCACCTGCAGCATGGGTTCCTGGGTTTCAGAACGGGGAGGACTCGGACACAGGCCCTCTGGAGCCTGGCTGGTTTAATGCCATGAGACCTTGGTCCCCAGCTGTAGTCCTAACTTACAGGTAGGAAAGCTTTTCCTGGTGGTGTTTGGCCTCTCTGCCATGACAGCACGTGAGAGGAAGCACAAGGAGAAAAAAAGCAGCTCCATCTCTGTCATGTCCTCTGAGCCCTGCTCCCGGACTGGGACCCCATAAGACCCTTGTGCAGGGTCTTATTGCTTATTATATCACTGCCCTTTGTGCAGTGAATTCCCAGCCTGCCTTACCTGATGGAGTTAATGATCTTGGTGGCATCTTCCTCTGACCCTTCCACATGGAACCCATTTGGGATACTCTTCAAGGACAACCGGCTCAGCACGTTCTCTGATCTGCTGCTGGTAATTGAGTGCCTGAGAGGGCTCCCAAAATCCCCCTCCACTGGCTTTGCTGCTGCCTGTTCTTGCTTTTCAGCAGCCATGTGGTGAAGAGCTTCTCTCTGCTGGGCCGTCAATTTCTGCTCCAAGAGCTCTGGGCTTTCCTTGACCCTTTGCTGGATCAATGGGGTGAGTGGGGCTTCAAAACTGACACAGCTGTCTGTCTCATCTGTGAGAGAGAGGACATCCAAAGAGTCCAAGCTGCTGTAGTATGTACCCTTCATAAGGTCAGACTCAACGATCTTCTCAAAAGTTGAGCTGAACCCATCCCTGATGTCTTTGAATTGAAAATGTTCCTTGTCATCCTCACTGCAGCTCAGCTTGCCATCTCCAGAAGCAAACCTGGACCAAAAGGGGAAATGTAGAAAACACTGTCAAGGTAATTGCTTGCACTGTTCCACTTGGAGCTAGGAGGCAAGATAGCAGGTAGAAATGGATGCTGTGATTATAGGCCCTTGGGACCTCTCTGTGGTATAACCTGCCTGGTTCCCCATCTTGTTACAAGCTTCTAGAGTTGAAGAAGGCACAGTTTTATGATAAGCAATCCCAGGGGCCCAGCCAACCTTTAATTTGGTCATGTTCCAGTAAAAAGTCTGAACTGGAGACATTTGCATCTGACACCTGTTTCTGGATCCACTGCCAGGATGGATTTAATCTTTCCCTTTAAGGTTATCTTTTCCTTCAAGTCCTCCAATTATGGCTACTTCAAAAGAATGAATATCCTTAAGATTGAGACCATTTCATCTAACTTTTTATGTCAGCAGCAAATGTTCTTGACCCCCTCTATAGCGGAAAAAAAAAAAGCAGAAGCTTTTCAGGAACAATTAACAGGCTGTAATTTAAGCATTTTTCTTAGACAAGACACCCTAGAAGTGCAAGTCACCCTACAAATAGTTTTCTCTCCACCAAGAGGGATGTAAAAGGTGATGGACACACACCCAGGCAGGGGAGGCTCCATGCTGCTTTATAGCTAGTCTGTGAGATTCAGGCACAGCGTTACAGGCATGACAGAAGGCTGTGAAATGCATGAACCTACAAGCCTACCTTCCAGGGAAGCATGGATGACTCTCAGCAATCCTGATTCGGATTTGAATGCAGGGACTTTCATTCCAGTGTACGTCTCAATATGAACCTACACTGGGGAGAATTCACCTGAGTCAAGTCCAGCAACAGCCCCTGTGCTGGGAGCCCTGGAGAGCTGGGAGGGCTCTGTCCCTCCTGGAACAGATGAGGCTGCAAGGACCTGCCTGGAATACCCTGGGTTTCTCAGGTGAAACCTGCCCCCCAGCTTCCAGCAGACACTGCTGTCTGTTGCTTTGTCAGGACCGAGCATTTCACACTGTGATACAGGGGAAAGCTAAGGGAACAGTGAGCTGCTTTTCCTCCGCCTGTGATGGAGTTAACTTTCTTCATAGCAGCACATATGGTGCTGTGGTTTGGATCTGTGACTGAAACAGCCTTGATCATGCTCTGATGTTTTATCTGTTGCTGAATGTGCCTGCACAGCGTCAAGGCTTTCTCTGTTTTTCACTCCCCAGCAAATAGGCTGGGGGTAGGCAAGAGTCTGGGAGGGGACACAGCGGGGACAGCTGACCTGAATTGACCAAAGGGATATTCCATCCCATATAATGTCATTCTCAGAAGAAAACCTAAAAAAAAAAAGAGGGGGGGCTGGTCTTTTCGAAGACTGCTCAGAGACTGACTGGGCATTGATCTGCTGGTGGGAGATGGTGAGAGATTGCTTTTGCATAACTTTTTTTTTTCTTTCACTTATTAAACTGCTTTTACCTTGACCCACAAGTCTGCTCACTTTTGCTCTTCTGATTCTCTACCCCATCCCACAAGGAATGGTTGTGGATAGGTGCTTATTTGCTGGTTGGAGTCAATGCACTGCACCTCCTCACTATGGTTGTGTCAGCTTGGAAACCCGGTGTCAGTGTCATGGCTATGCCTAGTGCCCCTGCATGAGCATGGCCTTGCTTTGCAGCAGAATATGTTTCCCTGAGATTAATTCTGGGGGTGGATCAGGGATGAGCAAGTTTCCCATGCCAGTGAATGAGATGCTGTCCCTGTGCATGCCCAAACCCAGCTACTGTCAGTAACGTTTCCTACTGGGCATCAGTGACAGCCCACTCCCTGCCTTGCACATCACCTGGAAATGGATGTTGGGAGGTAGTGGCTCTAGCACAGAGGCAGCAAAACACTCGTGACTCAGACATGGCAGAGCCATGAGAGTGTCTAAGAGGAATCTGGACATTTCTCAATACACTTTACAAAACAGCTCAGTCTTTTTAGGTGAGGAAACTGAGGCACACACCACACTCTATGGAATTGCTCATAGCAAAGGTAAAGAGAGGTAGAGAGATACAGCTTTGTGTCCCACCTCCACCAGCAGACAGCAGAGAACAGGGAAAGCAAAGCAACCACCTCCTGACAGCCCCCGCAGCCAACCACGTTTCCAGCTCCGAGGTATTTGCAGTTTACAGAATCCAGAGACATTCAGCCCATTTTGTCCAACAGACACAGGCTCCCTGGTTTCACGGTGGAGATGGACCCCTGAACATCACTGCCGTGCTTGGGCCAAGGCTCAGTGGAACCCTGAAGCCAGGTTGACTCGCAGCATTACAGGATCTGGGGCAGATACTTCTTTTTCTCCAGGCAGGAGGGATTTGCCTGCATTTCCACTGCACAGCTAAGCAAGTAGTGAGGAGAGAAGGCTGTCTCTTGAGTGGAGAGCAGGTTAATAAGGCCCTGAATTTACTGGCCCAGATATACTGATGTAGTGTCATCCATTCCTGGAAACCCTAGTCCTTCAAAATGCCTCAGGCAGGGTGGAAAATGGCTGGCCATTTCCGGACACAGTAGCCCTAAGGGCTAGTGAATGCACACCTTGACACCAATGATAACACATCCATCTGGGAACCATCATCATTGTTTTTGTGGAGCAGCCAGTGCTCATGGGCAGCACAGCATATACTGTGGTGATGCTCAGATGGACTGGTCATCCTCCATCAGCATGGGCAGCAAGAACTCAGCATTTACACGAGCACTAATACCAGCCAGTAAAATGGGACCTGGCGTCCCTTCACATCGGGAAGTCCTCAAGGTTATCACCTTTGTTTGCTACAGCCAGTGTGCTCAAAGACTCAAGCTTGCAGGACAGGAGGTACTCTGCCAACAGGGATCTCCTCACCCCAAGAATCCACAACAACCAGAGACAGTCACAGTGTGAGACATGATACAGCGGGCAACTGACAGAAAACCAGTGCAAGGAGGGAAGACTGCAATGACAGTGGGGCACATAGCCCCGTTGTGACAGTGAGGAGCGAGCACAAGTCAGCTACCAGACTTCTTGTCTCCCATCTCTGCAAGAAAGGTGTACTTGGGGAAGAATTTGAACAGAGGCAGATTTTCCTGTTTCTAACGTGCCAGGGCGAATGCCATTGAAGAGGAGAGGACAAACCAGTGCTCGCAGGTTTCCTGTTTCTCAGTGTCCCAGGAGCCTCTGGAACCCAAGCAGGTCAGGGTCCCATGAAGTGGCTATGCCATGCTGTCTTCCCTTCTTCATGATGCTGGATGCTAGGCCAGCGTGCTGGGGAGCTGTGGCAAAAACAGGGGATCCTGGCACAGCAGGGAGCAGGACAGACCCACCTGAAGGGCAGAGCGAGGAGGGAGACAACCACATGTGGCTTACACTACATTCAGGAGACCTGACAGGCCCTGACGAGCAAGTTTTTGCACCTTTTGAAAGTCCCCTCTGAGGTGTGAGCCATCAGAGATGCTGTTTTCAAACCTATCTCTGCAACCGCATGGGTAAAAGCTTACCTGAACCTGTAGACCCACATAATCCCTTGATTTCAGGAGCTCGAGGCTTAAGAAAACTCTGATCCAGTTCAGCAGAGCTGGCCATGCAGCAAACCGGACATAAGCAGAAGTGAGGCAGAAAGCAGCAGCTCCACGTCTGCTGCAGCCCAAAGGCCCCTCATCCTCAGGAATGCTTGGCTTTACAAATCCACCCATCCTCGCAGGGCGAACTGCAGTGCCTGGCCATGACTTTGCGTACAGAAAAGATTCCCTCCTTCCACAAAGCAGGAGGAACTTTGAAAACTTTGTCCCCTTGAGACAGGAAGTACTTCACAGCCTTAATTGCACCCGGCGGTGGGTGTTACGCCCCTTTGCCAAACTCCTTGCAACAGCCCCCGTCCCCAGGGAACTTGCACATCCCCTCCCCTGCATAGAGTATGTGTCCTCCACACATGAAGGAAAAACCCTGGGCCTTTGTGGTTTCCCAAGGTCCTCACAGAGAGCCATCACAGTGCCCTTGCCTGTATCGCTTCGCTCCCATCACCAGCGTGCCATTGTGCAGGAGCACCCATGCAGGAGGCCATGCAAGGTCTGGTGCACAGCGTGTGTTTCCCAGGGGCGTCGTGCACTGCAGCTGTGCCTGTAGGTATTCTCCTGGCTGCTCCTGGGTATTAAGCCCATCAAGAGCCAAGAAGCACTAGATATTACTTAGCAGGTCCCACATTGCCATAATCCCAAGTCAGACAGCTTGCGCTCTCTCATGACACTGAACAGAGTCCTTGCCATTAACTGTTCACACCACAGAGCTTGTATTTTCCAGCCCTTTATTTATTGCTTGAGCCCAAACTTGTACAGCAGGTAATGAAGAGAGAAAGTCTGTGTCCCTACAAACGCTCCAGCAATTTGGGACAGACTGCAGAGACCAGGGCAGGAGCCATGGTCCTGGATGGGTCAGTGGGCACCAACAAGTCAGGCACATCACATCTCTCCTTGTGTAGTCCCAGCAAAGACAGAGGACAAAGAGACTTTCTACAGCTCACGCGAGCCCTGGAGCACCGTCTGCATCTAACTCAGGCAAAGCCAGGCTAAGGCATGAGACAGCGAAACACCTCGCGTGTGGATGGACCTGGCATAGCCTCCCCCCAGAGAAGCGTCGTTACTTATTACACAGCAGGGAAGGCAATTCTTGACTTAAATAAGGATCTGAATATTTATTTGCATGGTAATCACAAGCTTTTGTGAGCATATTGAAGTAACCCTGTATCTAATTGCCTGTTCCGCTTTCCCCAGTCAGCTCTGAAATGCTGTTTTATTGCTTACAGCAAGGCATGCAGAGCAACGCACTTGGTTATTACTGCAGCTGAACCGTACTGGATTTTTATGCACTGAGCTGTTTACATTTCACTTCTCACTGGTTAATTAGTTGTAATAAAGTAAAGCCTAGTCTGCTGCATTGGTGGAGTGGGGAGGCCTGTCAGAGAAGGACGTGATGGAAATCAAGACTTTCTTGCCTGAGCGCTGAAGGATTTCTGGGAAGTTTTTCTGAAACTTTATTTAATGGAATTTGAATTGCTCAACGGCTACATGTTGCCATGGGAGGAAATGTGTGGGCAAAGGCAGCAGTCCCAAGCCTGCAGGTACTAACTGCGCCTACAAGAGAAAGGTGGGGATTCCTCTACCAACAAGTTTGACCTTTCTGCATTATTTAATGGGGCTGGAAGCAGAGAATATCATTCACTGGTGAAGCTTTTGGTTTGACTGCAGAGATGCAAACTCCCTGAGACCAGCAGGACCAATGTTGGGGACTTCTGGGAAGGGGAAAGACCTTTAGGCAACAGAGCCACAATGATAGGAAAATAGGGCTTTGACAAATGGCATATTGGCATGCCAGTGGGTGGCATGGGATAAACTAAAAAAGGGGCAAAAAGGATTCAGTTAATGCAAATTGAAGCACAAGCACTAAAGTTTTGTCTTTTTCCCTGACTTTTTTAACAAGCATTTCCTGCATAGATGAGCTAACCTACCTTCAGCAGGGCAATCATGGTTTCTTTCTCCAGACCTACCATGGAGTTGATGACCTTGGATGACTTTTTCCCTGTTAATTCTCCATTGGTTCAGTGGGAAGAGCAAGACTCAGTCCCTTCTTGTAAAGTACATTAAGACCCAGGGACAAAATTCATCATATGAGCATCTACTTGCAGATGAAAAGTGATTTGTTCCCCAAGAACAAATCGTTGACTGCTCATCAGTAAAACATTAGGCCAGAGACAGAGAAACCCCAGGTTCTCCTATATTCAGAATGGGTCATAACAGAAACAGCAACATACCAAAGGGGAGTAAAGAAAGAACTGGGGAAACTCAGAGATGATGCAGGATGACAGTAACCTACTGGTGGCTCTGTCCAACTGTCAGCTTTTTTACTCCTGACCCACATTGATCTAGGAGAGCCAGATAGTCACCTATGGTCAGGAAAGACCATCTCCGTGCTGTGTTTTGCCCAGACACATGTTTCTGCCATTTAGCCTAAAAATAGGTGGTCAAAGTACTAAGGAGCTCAAACACAGCAAGCTAACCCGATCCCTAGGCAATAAGCGGTTTCACAGATTTCAGCTGTGTCCTTGAAGTTTTCCAGCTGCCCTTCTGCCTTTGAATATAGTGTGTGACTTGTCCCCTGTGCATTCAGTTTCCCAAAAGACTTATTTGCTATTCAAGTGAATAAGTTTAAAGAGTAAGATCATGGGCTGTGCGTGTAAAGCCCAGTCAGTCTGCATCATCTCCAAATCCTCAGCCTGCCACTTCTCCCAATTCGTGCCTTAGTACCTTAAAATAATTGCACTTCCAGTGATTGTAGCAACATTCACTCACCACCGGTAGCTTCCTCTTGAACTCTCAGTCTCTGTCAGGGAGCCACAGACCAAGCAAATATGATTCCCTTGAAACCTGAGAGACTTGCAGACCTCCAAGACCTGACAGCATAGCTTATGGGGCTGGTGGGACCTGCCTGGGGTAGACTCTCCTAGCTCTCTGGACATCAGCAGCCTGCACTGGACACTCTTCCTCTTCAATACCTTCAGTTGTGTTTGTGGGAACAGGGCTGCTCCCTGCTGCTGGGGTCTTGGGTAAAACAAACCACCAGCTTTTTGTAGGGGAGCCTGTTCAACACTAGAGACACAATGAATTCGGGATGCCTGTCATCAGCCCACACTCTCTGTGGCTTCCCAGCTCTGCTGACACTCCTGCCTACGCTCCAGACAGTGTGCTGAACAAACGGCTCAGCCTGAAGCCTGCACTGGACTAGAACTAGGAGGTGACTCACAGGACCCTCTTGGCCCCCCTGTCCTTTTCATACCTTCTCCTCTTAAGGGGGCCATGCTCCTCTGTGACAACCTCTGCTGCTCTTCTCCAGTTCCCATCCTGCTCGCAGCATCTCTCCCATGCTGGGGCAGCCACATAGGCAGGGCCATAGGATTCACAGCGGCCATCAACCCCAGGTGGCTACAACACAGACCCCTGGAAGATTTCTGGTAGCAAAGAGAAGCACTCCCACAGGAGTGGCATGGGAAGCACCCCATCTCATCCCAGTGACGAACCATTTCCCCTCAGCCCCCAACCTGCAGAGCCCCAGGGAGGTCTAGGCACTTGCAGAGGCATAAAATCAGCCATGGACACTGCACCGGCGTGAGTGTCCCCCAGACTGGAGAGTTCTCACATGAAGTCAGGCTGCCAGTACAGAGGACACAGAGATCGGGGGTGCTGCACACATGCTGGTTTATCTCAGGCACTTGGGAACAGGATGAAATCCATATCTCTTGTCTCAAACCGCTATCCCTGTGCCACCCAGGCACCGGTAACACCTGCCAGAGGTGCAGCGGGGAGCAAAGCTCAGTGCCATGCCCTCTGTTACTAACAGCATGGTCCTTTGGATACTGAGGGACCAGGGACTGCTAGAGCAAGCCATGCTGCCAGGGACCTCCAGACTGCACCAGCCTCTCAGAGAGGCCTGGCTCTCCATCATCCCCAGGCTGGCGTACTTGTCCTAAGTTATCTCGGGTAACTCTGCTGTAAGTGCTGCAGCTGAACATCCAACTTGCAAGTGGGACACCCCCAAAGTGAGCACAACCAGCGTGCAGCACTTTTGAGATCCCTGAAGCTTCTCCTTTGCTTTAGTGACTCTGTGGGCAGACACTGGCTCTCATCACAGCTTTTCTGCATTTGCAACAGGGAAAAGCACTGTAAGAAACCCAGAGAGAAAAAGAATGAAAAGCCGCCGTCAGCCATGAGAGCAGCTGCAGCTTTTTAAACTGATGAGTTACACACAGAGCAGAGTAACTCGAACCAAGGAGGCTTGAGAAACAGCACACATAAACCAGCGCTGAGCCAATGTTACGATGGCTTCACACTCACCCGAGCTGTTCCTCTGGCTCGTCAGCACTTAGAGCTTCTGAGGATCCCAGGATGTCGTGCCACCGCTCCCTGCTGAGGGCCTTGCTAGTTATCTCCTGGGTGGGGGAGCCCCTCTCCCCCGAATCCACGCTGCTTTGGCTGGGCACGCCGATGTCCCGCTGCAGCAGTGACGTCTGCTCCCGCCCCGCAGTCAGCTCTGTGTCCACACCATTCACCAGCGCCGGCCCGTCCTCACGGCTGCTCTCACTGGCGGTGCCCGTCCCCAGTCCCCGCACACCCTGCCTCTCGCTCGGCTCCGTTGACGCTTCCAGACGTTCATCCCCCTGGCCCCTGTGCTCCCAGTCCGCTCCTCGGGAGGGCTGAGCATCGTCCCAGGGGCTGGCTCTCCCGCTGGCAGGCTCTGCAGCCTGGCTGAGCTGCTCGTCCCTGTCGCTCCAGGCCAGCGCAGCCGGCTGCGAGCCCGAGGAATGCAGCTCGCAGCGATCTGCGTCAGACCATGGAAAGTGGCTGTTCTCACTCATATTCCGCTTGTTGTCCCAGCGCTTATGGGCTCCCTCCCCGCGCTCAGCTCAGGCTCAGTACTACCTACAACGGAAAAGAAACCACATTACGAGGGCCCACAAGGGCTGTCAGAAAGGCACGGACTTGTCGACAGCAGCTCACAAGGGCAGCAGTTTGAAGCGGAGCACAGGAAAATGCCCCCCACCCCTCCCAACCCCTCAGTGTAAAAGCAAAGAAGGACCATACTGGGGGGTTTGATGCTTTTGCAAAGACTAGCACTCGTTATCCAGCACAGTGAGATCAGGAGAGGAAAATCTGCCGTTGTGATCCTAAGCCGTCAAGGTGTGGGCACCCACCTTCTCCAGCTGCTCCCGTTACCCTCAGGCAGCCTCAGCCACAAGCACAGGGGACCCGCACCATGCTTGGGGACAGGAATGTGGCACAACTGCTTTTCCTAGGCTGGATACCAAGTATTCCCTGCCTGACAGAAATAGGGGAAATAGGAGATAGGTGTGATTCTTTTTTTAACACTTCTAAGCAGCTGTGATGTGCCCACCTGTGTGCTTCTCCCTGCTGACTTTGCACATCTGCAGAACTTCTTGCCTGCTAGAGTAATATGTTCCTTTTCCCAACACACAAGGACTGCTGAAGGGTGTCGTAAGTTGCCAGCTAAGACTCCAGCAAAAGTGTCTTTACTGAATATATCCTGGGATGCTCTCTCTGTAGGGCAAGGGAAGGACACTGTATTGCACTAAATGAGACAAGCAGTTTCCTGATAAAAAGGCACCTTATTGGCAAACATGCCCATTGATACAAAGCTTGCAAGTCTCAGAAGCACCATCCTTCACCATGGGGTGTAGCCCCACAGTGCTGTCCAAGCTTTTCTCCATTGTAACCCGTGCAGCTGCAATCACATGCAACCAGAACTTGTCTCTTCTGGAAGCAGGAGTTTCTGTATGGTGCTCAGGCAGAGCCATGGTAACAGCTGATTTTGTTTTAAAACAGTATCTATCTTCACCTGCACGAGAAGCCTGGCTCATCAATTTCAGCAGGCAGAAGGGATCCCCTGGATCCCCTAACTCTGTTCCCAAATCACATCTCAAGCAGATCGTTTGAAGTCCCTGCCTCAGCTTCCCTCTTTGTAAACCAGGAATCACACAGCACCTCTGAGAAACCATGAGGGTGCCTGGATGTCAGCGATGGGCTCTGGGTGCTCTGACTTGCTGAGCTGCAGCTCTCATTAGCAGTAAACTCACTAATTGCTTGGCCAGTGCAGGGGTCTACTAGATCTTGACAACAAGAAGTGCTGGGCTGCAGCTGCCTCCCCTCTTACTGCCCCTCACCCTGTGGAGATACCAGCAGCCTCTTCCCTGCTGATGATTCCTCTGCATCTGGTCAAGGAACAAGGGAGAGGTGGGATTTGACCCCAAACGCCCCTCTACAGCCCGGGTATGGGCAGATCCACACAGGTACATGCTGAGTTGATGGCTAAGCAGGACAGATCCCAAGGGGAACCTCAGTCCCGGGCTGACTTTGCTCCAGTCCCACAGCCCAGGAATCCTGTCTGGCTCTCTGTGTCTTGCTCCCCACAGCTGGGAGACGAAGTGGGCTGGGGGATTCAGAGCCCCGCACGGGGAGAAATGGTCCTCAAGGGCTGCGCATGCCACAGCAGGCTCCTTGAGGCAATGCTGATGGTTTTACCTCTTCTCCACGTGCATCCGTGTGAATCCCCCGCTGTCACAGAACACACAGCATCCCCGCACCTATCGCACTAGGCACAGCCAGGCGCTTCCGACAGATGCACGATCCCTGCCTGTAACAAGGGACCAGAGAAAGTGAGACCCAGGCCAGAGAGGAGAACATCACTGATCTCCTGCCACCCTGCTGCTGGCCCATATCAGGCCATTTCCCAGACCCACCCCACGGCCCATTCTTTGCAGAACACTTCAAGTGGTCTTCCCTCTGCACGCTCTGGTCCTCCCTGGTTTTCAGCCATGGCAGTACAACAGCCAAGTGCAGCAGTGATCCTTAGAAAGGGCTTCTGATTTCTTTCCTCATTAAGTCCTTCCCTGACCAATTAAAGAAGAGCAAAGGGACTATGTGGTTGCAGGTTTCAGGAGAAACTTGACAATGAGCCCACTGAATGTCCAATTCCACCCAGCAGATCCACAGAGAAAGACACCTGTGTTACAGACAGATCCTCCCCAACAGTCCTCCCCAGACACACCAACAAACCAAGAGCCAGGCTAGAAGTGTTTGAGCTAATTGTAAGCAAATCTGAACTATCAAAATCATTGATATAGCGACATTTCCCTTACAGAGTGTATTGTACAATGCAGAATGGCAAGGGGACGGTGGTGCCTCTCCATGAGGTGACCCCAGGCTGGAGGACTGTGTCTGGTCACCACAGATCGTGTGCCATCAACAGACACCTGCCTGAGCTAGCGGGCCAGGCTTGCTATGGAGTTGATGAAGACAGGCAGGGCAGCATTGCCTGTGCACTTTTAGAGGTCTACCTCAGGCTGGGTGGATCAGTCCCCAGATGTGCCACCTGGCTGGAGAGAGCCCTGGCTGGGGGAGCTTGGCAGCAGATATTTGTGTCAAGTCCCTGTGGAGGGATCAGCTTACATCCTCTCTTGGGATTGCTCTCGTGGGCCTTTGGCCCCTCTCTCAGCCAGCCTGCCTCTCCCTGACAAGAGAAAGGCCAGGCTAGGCTTCCTGGAACACCAGCACGTCAGTGTCCTGTGGCCCGGCATCCCACCCACAGGAGCTGAGCCCTCCCAAGAGAGGTGAAAACAACCCCCTGGGACAGTCCCCAGGTTCGCACATGTGGGTCAAGTCTCCTCTTGCTTGTTCTTCTGCCATCCCAATTGAAGAGGAAAGACCTGCAAATCTCTGTCCCACCAAATCCAGGACAGGAAATCAGTCCCAAGCACTTGGTCTTCCCATGCACTGACAGCAGGGCCAAGCCAATGCAACATCTTCAAGGAATTTACCTGCAAAACTACCAAGACTCTCCTGAGCATGACCACACTGAAATCTCGAGTCAGACTGAAAAGCTAACATGGGCCAAATTTTGACTTTCCCATAGTGAAGGCACGGTACAGACATGCAACACAGAGACCACACTCAAACTTTTGGAGTAACCTTTCCAGCAAAGCTTTGCTGGCCTTCTTCTTAACATGAGATAAATGTGGCTTTTTCGAGTCCAATTTTTTAAAAGCAGCCAAAGTGTCTGGGTTGAAATTCCCCACCTCCCTGCCATCCATCCAATATCTGAAGTAGGAACCAGACACCACCCAAGCTAAATTCCACTCCAACAGCTAAAGCTTGGCACAGCTATACACAACCAGAAAACAGGAAGCTAAATGTGGTTAGGAGACAGGCCTGAGTAAGAAATGTTGGCAAACCTTAGTAAGTGTGATGTCCCATCCATTCCTCCTGACTTTAACCAAGTTATATTCATATTAAAAAAAAAAAAAAAAACAAACCATTTCTGTTCTTACATATAAACTACTGCATTATGCCTACTCTGGTTTACCCTCTGTGAAGTCTAACTGAGACATTTATGGTCTGGAGGAAGGGCCATAGGAGGCTGAAGAGTCAATAGTTAAACCTTTGGGCATGCTCTTCCTTGGCCTGGGTTCCTGCTGGAGAAGGGGCACCAGGGAAGCCTGGGGGTATACATGCACAGACTATTGCTGAGCCAGGAAGACCATCAGCTCCCAGCTTCCAGTGTACTGGTCTGAGCAGAGCCAGGAGAAGAGATCCAGGGCTCTCACAGCCTCCTGACCCCTCTGAGATTTGTATGTCTGCTGCTGGATCCATCCTCCATTGCACACACATGGATGGAGGCTGTCGTGCACCTGGAGTCTGCAGGCAAGCTGAGTGTATAGAGTGTATATAAACCCATCACAAATTACCCAACAAGCTATGTGATTTATGCTTGTGGTGACAGTCACTTGAAGCAGACTCAGGTTATGGGTGGCTGAGGCTTCCCAGAAGCTCCAGAGGAACTGTGAGGTTGGGTTGTAATGGGCCATGGTTCCTTTTCCAACTGCCCATGGTGATGCCTCATACTGAAGTCATGCAGCTGACTCCTGCCACACTCAACTGTGCAGCCTGGGCAGTGTGTCCCACATTAGCTGCAGAGAGTCTCTCCCACTCTACAACCCCATGACACAGCCACGTGTGGCAGGGCTCATGTGTGAGCTGCTGCCTTCCCCAGCCATGTGGGGTAGGCACATGGGCAAAGGGAAGAGGAGGCAGTCTGTGATACCACAACTTGGACTCAAAAGAAGACAACCGAGGGTGAGCAGCTGGTTGCAACTGTCCACATCTGCCTCCAGAAAATAGCTGGAGGGTTACCAATGCTGGATAGAGTCCAAAGACGGACTCTTAACACCCTTCTGTTAACTCTAAGAAAGCATCAAAGTGCAGCTCAGCCTCTGGCCCAAAGCAGCCACAGCTTCAACCAGGCCGTTGGGAGAGGATGCATTGCATCACAGGGGGAAGGGGTGATTGCATCACAGGGGGAAGGGGTGGTGTGGGTATTCAGAAGTCCCCCTCTGGGGCTCCTTTCTGTTGCCCCAAAGCACTACAGCCTGACAGACAGGAGACTGAGTTGGACCACAGGCTGATATCCCCCATGTCCCTGCTTGTTCTTTATGTTTTGCTTTGCAGAGTGCTCTCTGGCACAGGTAAGGGCTGGAAGGTGCTGTCTGGATTCCCACCAGTGGATTTTCACACAACCACAAGTCCTGCCCTTTCTGCAGGCTCAGGCATCCTCTCAAGTGACTGCTGCTTCCCTGTGTCCCGTGGGTAGGGTGAGCATCCCATGCATATCCACTGCTCCCAGCCTCCAGCAGATGTAACATGGGTCAGCATACAAAAAAGGGGCTGACAAGAAAAGGGAATGACCTGGCACATGTCCCGGCCTGGACTGTTCACACTGGTGGCTACAATGGCCCTGCTGAGCTGTAGCCAGTTGTTAAGCTGCAGTTCCATGATATGGACCCGA